TTTGTAACAACTAGTCATTAAATCTTCAAATGCCCTGGTACGGCCGAGAGTGGGGAGAGTCCGCTCTCTCTCTCTCTCTCGCCATGCTCTCACATGGCCACGCGTATATAGCCTCTGCCAGGGAAGTCCTACTCACTGCCTTCTCGTGGCGGGGTGTTGTTTACGAAAATGAGAGGATAAAGAGCGAATGTCCGGAGCTTTAACCGGACCCCAAACCAATAGTGCACATGGGCTCCAGTATCCTGATGGAACAAATAGCGTATGAACCAATCGTTGGTCACCGGTTACCATGGGACTGCATCTCCTCACGATGCTCCACTGCCTTGTAGATCAGATCTTCAGGTCAAAGGCTCGGGGTGTGGCCCCCTAAGAAAACCACGTGCTTCGGTTTGGGCACCTGTGCAGTATCACAGCCCTCACACAAACCGAATGCGATCTGGGTGGCGGATATGTATTTGGTGCCTCCTTGTACCGATATCTATGTGTTAAAATAAATAAATAAATAAATTCTCAGTTATTTGACTAGATTTTATAGATGATATTTCAGTTTTTCCAACTTGTTTAAATGAATCAGCCTACTGCAGCAGTAAACAGGATCAGGCACATATATGCATCGGTTCAAGTTGCCATACCTCATTAGCATAACAAGATGATTTATTTGTTTATTTGAATATATATATGCTCCACACAATAATAATGAGAATGTGAAGATGAACACTGGATTCATGGAGGTGGTTAATTCAGTAGTGGAAATATATAAAAGAAAGATTGCATATAAGGAGAATAAAGAATTAGTTCGTAGAAAGAGAGACATGAAGCGATTTTAATTCCTTAGTTTAAATGAAGACAGAGTGTGTATACACCGACCCCATTGTGATCGATTCTGAGCCGTGTCACCCAAAGTCTCCAACTATTGGTTAAGATAGTCACGCGGACCCCAACCAGGCAGTCTGCATCTACCAACATGGCTCAGACCAGAAGTTAGTGACTTCAAGCACTGATGCCACGTTTTGGTTTGGCCGCCTCTAACTTTCTTCCAACCATTTTCAACACTAGTCAGCATTGCATGTCGTGTTAATCGTGGCGTTCAGGCATACGTAACATGTGGCCCAACGATCTCAGTCGGTGAAGGTTCACAACCTCATCAACCCATTTACCATCGTTCCCTGATACCTTGTGTCTAACCTCACTATTACTTACCCGGTGATCCCAGCAGACGTGAACAATATTTCTAAGGCATCTGTGGTCAAATACTAATAGCTTACAAGTGTCGTCTACTCTTAATGGCCACGTTTTGCAGTCGTAAAGTAGAACAGCCGCATAGTATACTCGTCCCTTAATTGATAGAGGGATATCTCGCCTTCGCCATAAATAACGTAAGTTGGCAAAAGCCGAACGAGTTTTTTGAATCCATGCTGATATTTCGTCAGACACCAACCTATTAGGGCTGATCAGACTTCCGAGATATGTGAAGTTGTCGACGCGTTCCACTATTTTACTTCTTTATTACTCATAGTATGATTGTCTGTTATGATTATTAAATGACATAAAGTCATTTGTTTCATGGATTCTCCTCAGTTGTTTACAATCTAAAATGATAATATTGATCATTAGAACAAGTGTAGGTTAAATAAATGATTAAGCAAACATTTGAACAATCCTAATTCTTCCATATTATTTTCTCTTACTATTATTCTATCTCTACATATCAACTCAACTCATTCTAAATGTTTCCGATATAAAGTATGTACACACTTTTTTTCTCATTTTAATGATCAATACAATCATTTCAATTTGTAAGCAGTTGAGGAGAATCCACAAAATCAATGAATTCATGTTATTCTATTACGTTTTATTTTGTTCTCTATTTATTTATGTTATGATTGTGGAGAAGATACGACTTGTTCTACAGAATCTGACTGATATAACTCTATACCAGAGAAAAAAAAGAATACAAGATAGAAGATAAAGATATATTTACGAATGAAACACTGATTTACACGAGATCAATACGATATTGAAATATGAAGTGAATATATATATATATATATATATATATATATATATATATATATATATATATATATATATATATATATATATATATATATATATATATATATATACTATTTTAAATGTCCAGTTAATTTAATAGACAAATGTGAAAGTAATGAATTGACAATCAGAGTTGGTATTACATTGTCAGTAAGTTAATGTAGGTATATGATTTGCAACATTAATAGATCTACTGCTTCAACTAACACGTAAAACAAAATCTCTGAAAGTAATTTTCATTACCAACTGAAATCAGTTCAATAATCGAGTAAAACTAGAAAACATTAAACGTCTACTTAGGTTTCACCCTTCAATAGTACGCACTTATACTGATTCGAACTGTCGTAAAAATTCATCTTCAAAAAAATAGATGCTTCAAATGAGACAGGACTTTTATAAAACCATCTAACTTGATAGTGAAAATTTCATCATAAATAATCAATATCATGCTGAATTCATGTGATGGATTAAACTGCAAAATCGTGCATGAGGGACAGCTGACAGACTCGTTCGAAGTAAAGACTGGTGTTAGGCAAGGTTGCTTACTCTCACCCTTTTTCTTTCTCATAGTGATGTGGCGCATATATATTTGGTGCCCTCTTGTACCAATATTTATGTGTTCAAATAAATAAATCTGGTGATCGATTGGATCATGAATACGTCAACATCTTAGGGGAAGCACGGGATACAGCGGACAACTAGGATGCAACTGGACGATCTAGACTTCACAGATGATCTGGCTCTTCTATCGCAAACGCAAGACGAAATGCAGGGCAAGACAACTAATGTAGCAGCAGTAGGTCTCAACATACACAAAGGGAAAAGGAAGATTCTCTGATACAACACAGCATGTAACAATCGAATCACACTTGACGTAGAAGCCTCAGAAGATGTAAAGACCTTTACATATCTGGGCAGCATCATTGGTGAACACGGTGGATCTTATGCAGATGTGAAGGCGCGGATCGGAAAAGCAAGAGCAGCACATTTACAACTGGAGAACATCCGGAACTCAAAACAACTGAATTATCATGAAAGTCAGAAATTTCAATACAAATGTCAAGACAGTTCTACTGTATGAGACGGAAACTTGGAGAACTACGAAAGCCATCGTCTAGATGATACAGGTGTCTATTAACAGCTGTCTACGCAAAATACTTCGGGTCCGTTGGCCAAACACTATCAGCAATAACCTACTATGGGAAAGATCGAACCAGATTCCAGCGGAGGAAGAAGCGCTGGATGTAAGTGGGACATACATTGAGGGAAACAACGAACTTTGTCAGAAGGCAAGCCCTCACTTGGAATCCTCAAGGTTAAAGGAGGAGAGGAAGACCAAAGAACACACTACGCCGGGAAATGGATAAAAACATGAGAAGAATGAACAATAATAGTATAGAAATACAGATGAAGGCCGAGGACGGAGTAGGTTGGAGTATGTTGCTCGGCGGCCTATGCTCCATTAGTGGTGACAGACGCATGTAAGTAATATTCCTATGGTCTAGTAGTTGCATACGTAATACAATTAAGAAAACTATCGATCTATAATATGAATTATCTTTACTCTACACCACAGTTTCATGTATTTTTGTCTGTTTGATGTTTTTCTCCTTCAAATCATTACCACCTATAATTTCAAAATATTAATTTTTATTCTAATTAATGTTATAACACTCGATTTTACTTCGTCTACACGTATGGGATGTTAATTTACCTTAAACGACTATCTACACTAGATTCTCACTCAGTTTCTATTATTCTACAGGATTTCAGCACAACTCAGATAATCAAGAACGCGTGGTTTGTCTGACTAGAACGTTAAGATATATATTTCCACACCAAAATCCCGAAACAATTCAACAACAATGAAGAATAAGGATAGGGGAATATATAACTCATCTAACACCTGTCAGACTATCTACATGTTTGACTAAGCAAACAACCAATCATTATCATTTTATTTCTGCCAAATGCCCTGGTACGGCTGAGAGTGAACATAGTTAGCTTTCCCTCTCGAAATGCTCTCACATGATCATGCGTATATAGCCTCTGCTAGGAAAGTCCTACTCACTGCCTTCTCGTGACGGGGGTGTTGTTTACGAAATTGATAGGACGAAAAGCGAAAGTCTGGCGCTTTAACCGGGATGGTGGACACGGAGAGTCCACCTAGGGGAGTTGGAAAATCCTGACTCCAAACTAATGGTACATATGGGCTGCAGGATCCTGAAGGAACCAATCGTTGTTCATCGGCTACCATAGGACTGCATCTCCTCACGATACTTCACTTCTTTGTAGATTAGACATTTTAGATCAAAGACTCCGGGTGTGCAACCCCCCCCCCTCTCAAAGAAAACCACCTACTTCAATTTGGTCACCCAGACAGTATCACACCTCTCACATAAATCAAATGAGATTTATGTGGCACATATGCATTTGGTACCCTTCGAATAAATAATCATTCTTACCCATATATCAATGAAAGTCCTACTCACTGCCTTCTCGTGACGGGGGTATTGTCTACGAAGTTGAAAGGAGGAAATGTGAAACTCCGGCGCTTTAATCAGGTTGGTAGACACGGAATGTTGGAAAATCCTCACTCTAAACCAATGGTGCACATGGGCCCCAGTATCCTGAGGGGACAAATAGCGTATGAACTAATCGTTGTTCATCGGCTACCATAGAACTGCATCTCCTCACGATACTTCACTTCTTTGTAGATTAGACATTTTAGATCAAAGACTCCGGGTGTGCAACCCTCCCCCTCTCAAAGAAAACCACCTACTTCAATTTGGTCACCCAGACAGTATCATACCTCTCACATAAATCAAATGAGATTTATGTGGTACTTATGTATTTGATATCCCTTTAGGTACCCTTCGAATAAATAATCATTCTCACTTACATTATCAATAAAAGATTTTAATTATTTAATGAATTCATTTAATTTATTTATTTGGTAATATACCCCATAATTGTAATTTATTTGGTAAATATTCATTGGTTAAATAATTTGAATGAATTGTATTTAATATTTCTAATTCAGCTTTATTTTCATTAAATAATAAATATTTTATCTATCACATAAAAATAAAATAAAATAAAAGATTATATAATTTAATTATAATTTACCTGTTTTAATAATATTGATTCTTGTTGAATATATGGACGTTTTTCCATTGAATTTAATAAAGATTTATCTCGTTTAGTTAATTTTAATAGATCAGTTTGTTTTATATGAAGACTTGAAATCAATCAATCGTTTGAAAAGGTATATGTATATATAAACTTACGATGATAATTCACTTGGTAATAGTCCACAGAGTTGAAGATTTGATATTCTTATTGGACTACCATCTTCATTTTGCATCATAGGATTCTAAAAAGAAAAGCTATTTCGGCGAGACTCTAATTTAAGGACGAGCCAATCAGAAGCGTTTAAGCCATTTCAAGGTCACGGAGCCAAGTTTAACGCATGATGCTCACATGCGATCGGTTTACAGCGGATTTTAGAGAAGAGGTTATTATTGAGAAGCTACAAGAAATGGGACTACTAAGAAGTTCTTGTACGTGTGACTGCGGTTATCAGATGACTGCAGTAAAGTGTACAGACCACCGCGGTGAGATTATATCCCCTTGTCCTTCATGTTGGAGGAAAAAGTCTGCTAGAACGGGGACTTTCTTTGCTCGATCGCGACTGAAATTGAGACAGATCATGATAATAGTTGCGAGTCGGGTAATAAAGACACCAGTAACACTGGCTGCGGCATTCGCAGATGTTACTGAAACCTCAGCAGTCCAGTGGTGTGAGTACTGTCGTGACATATGCGCAACTAAAATGACAAGTATACACCAATCATTCGTAGGAGTAGGATGTATCGTGGAGATAGATGAAACGGTAGTGAGAAAGATAAAATACAACAGGGGGCGTAGTATAAATGAAGATTGAGTAAGTAGCATTTTCGTAAATATACTTGACAGATATTTGGGATTTATGATAGATCAACTCGAAAGGGACATTTTCAGATGGTCACCAACCGGCAAGCAATCACAATAATACCAATAATACAGGAATACGTGCTGCCGGGTACTACGATATATACGGATGACTGGAGAGCATACAGATGTCTTCAAAGACTTGGATATGTCCATCACGTTATAGTCCGTAAACGTCATTTCGTTGACCCTACAACCGGGGTTCATACTAATAACATTGAAGCGATGTGGTCAAGAACGAAGGAGTTTTTAAGACCATATCACGGCTCCAAGGGTCGACTATTATGGAGCCATATGAATAAGTTCTTATACCGTATGCAATATGATTTCAAAACATCTGAACCTTTATCAAATCTTAAGTTTTTAAATCATATAAAAGAAGTATATCCACTGTAATTCTTCAGTTTCTTCTAATATATTTTTACTTTATACTAACTGTTTTTTGATTGGCTAATGTCTTCAAGGTCATTTAAAATTCGTTCAAAGGTCGTCCCTAAATTAGAGTCTCGCCGCTATTTCATAGAATACTATTATTCCGAGTTATTAAACTAATTAGTTGAATGTGTCAAATGCTTCACTTATTTTGGGAGTCTCATTAAACCCTTATGGTTTGATGTGTAATGAAATTTCAGTACGGATAAAGAAGACTTGATTAGCTTTTGCCAACTTGAGTTATTTATAGCATAGGTGAGGTATCTGTCTACCGACCCAAAGACGGGTTTACTGTGCAGCAGTTCATTCCGTTCTAGTTTATATCAGTGAAACATGGCCGGTAAGAGTAGAGGATATTAGTAGGTTACTAATATTCCATCATAGGTGTCTTCGAAACATTGCTCGTATATCCTGGGACCATCGAGTAAGTAACTCAGTTGTTAGGAAACGGGTACTAGGTAAAGATGGCAAATCAATTGATAAATTGGTGAAACTTGATCAGTTGAGATGGCTGGGACACTGAATGCCCCGGTGAATGATGTTTTCTGGTGTAGGAGTGGGTTGGGAGTAAGCTAGGAGCGACCAGACCAATACATGGCACAAATCCATGAAGTCACTGACAAGTGGACTGAGTCGTGTTAGTAAGTGTACACTACGTGGTTGGGATCTACGAGATGATAGCAACAGATAGTCAAAGACCTTGAATGACATGGCTCAAAATCGTTTGTAATGATGCAGGTGCATCCACTCTTTGTCTTCTCCAAAATTATAATCTTCCCTTGTTTTTCTCTTTTCAAATTTATTTCACTGAATTATACTCCTTAAATAACATCTTCAAACCCTAATCTTTCCGATTACTGTTTATACTCTTACTACCTCGACGACTATGGGATTTGAATGAACAATTGCATCTCTGTTCTAATGTTATATAGCAACTCGAACTGATGTACGAACGTACGAAGTTCTACGTTTTTACTGACTGACTGAATTGCTTTTATTCCTGGATTTAAGTTTATGATTTCTTAATTCTTGAGTGTTACATTTCATTTTGAATTACATTTTAGATGTTCTCTAGATTGGTACACAAATATGTATTAAAATTTTTAGTTAACTTCTTTTATTAGCATTGATCACCAAAATCTGTGATGTATTGGATCGAAAATTCTTACTTCTTAATACTTTATTTGCGGATTTATTAGAATAAATAACATTGAAATGCTCATCTCATTCGCTATAGACAGCAACTTAATAACAGTCCAGATGGGTGGCTTAATACTCCAGACACTCTCGTCGAAGCTACAAAGTTCCTAATCCAAACCTTTTCCGTCTGGAAAACAGTATGATATTACCAGGGTTCATACATAAACTATACCTCAAAATTAAGTACCTAAATGTGAATTTGGTTGCTCAGATACATTGAGTTACTAAAATTTAGATTAACTAAGTTAGTAGTCAATAAATTATATGATTAAGAATTGAATCCATTAACTCATAAATACTAAAAATATGCAAAGTTAGAATTCATGCAAGAAGGCGTAAAGAGAAACTTTATTTCTTAAGATGATGAGTTCTATTCGAATGTAAGAAATTTGGAATAGTTAAGTCGTGGGTTTTATGATCAAAGTTTTTTGTTTTTTGAATATTCTATAGGAATTCAGGTGACGTTTTGTTCTCTGAGCTGGATGGTTTCGTCGTGGAGATTTCATCATTCTTCTGAACAACATCCGTACAAAACTTATGTAGAAGTGAAGTGTTCAAATTTCTCTATGTATGACTCACAACTTGTCCTGTCAAACTCGATATTGATTGGTTATTGTACACCTTTAACATACCGTTGTCTACTTCTTTATTTTGATTGTACTTCCCTTCGGTCTAATTATTGGTCTTATATTTGTCCATGATTCTTCTGATTGATAAATTGGATCAATGTCGATGTGCTAGTTGATTACTAATTGACCTGAGTTCCAAGTTTCTAAAAATCCTCTAGTATTTTTAGTGTTCCAGTTGAATGTATGTCCACATGCATCGATATAAACGAAAATATGCCAATAATTGATCTTCGATAATGCAATGAGAAAACGAAGTTTATCAGAATTTGAGATATATTTGCGCAATACATTTTTGTGCAGGCGCAGATGAATGGGACATCCACTATGTCCGATGTAGTGTTTGTCGCAGCTGTAACGGTTTATTCTGTTGATGATGTTCGATTTTTTTTGTCATTTCGTCCTTTGGTTCGTATAGGATTGATCGAAGCGATTTTGTTGTTCAAAAGAACAATGAAATCTTCACGACTAAACCATCCAGCTCAGAGAAAAGAACTCTACCCGACCTACAAATCTTCCTCACCATATACAAGAATGCTCAAATTAAAATATTAAGTCTAAAAATATACAAAAGACTACAGTGCATAGTTATAATTTCACTGAAACTATGTAGTCGCAAAGCATCTTGAAACCATAAACAAAAAGGACTTATTGTTCTTTACATCCGTTTGTAGATTGTATACAGATTCTTATCAATATGGAATTAGTATTTTATTGAAATCAGTCCTAATGTAGGCATGTGAATACACAACGCTTAAATTTTCGATTGCTATATACCAGCTAGTAAATTGCTCAACATTTAACTAATAGCGATTGATGATGTTATTAGGAATATATTACAATAGCTATTCGCTACATATCTATACAAAGATATATATGTTTTTCCCAACCCTAGACCTATCAATACTCAGTAGCCATATATATATATATATATATATATATATATATATATATATATATATATATATATATATATATATATATATATATATATAACATTAAAAAATATTGAACGAAGAAATGTTTAGCCGACATTGTTTATGCAATTTGTCACCCTCAACATATCAATCAATACTTAAAGAATAATAGTTTCATGCTTACCGTAGTACCATACTTGTAAGTACAGAATACATTTATACCTATAAATTGAAGGATATTACATCATTTTATTTGTCATACCATGAGGATCAGCATCAAAAAGTCCAATTATTGGAATATTTGGATGTATACAATTTATTTGAGCAAGAAATTGTCGAGTTATCAAATCTGGATAACCTTTAGCCTATTTTAAATAACAATTATTAATAACAGTAGAAATAAATTATTTGGTTTACTGTAACCAATAAACAAGGTTTGAATTTTTCATAGAACTTCTCATTTAAAAGTTTCCGAAAAATTGTGTCTTTTTCAATTATCAAAATAAATTGAGGTAAACATTCTGTATATTCGATTGACAGGCACATAGATGACTTAGAATAGTAATCTACCTGAGATAATAACCTCATATCCACTTTTCAATAAACTTTCAGGTATACCCTGCAAATAAAAAAGAAACGAATAATGAAGATCACTTCTTGTTAAAAAGTTGTTTGCTATTTCTTGTTACAAAGGTTCCTAAAGACACCTAATCAATTCGTTAGTCCTGAGACGAAATCTCGTCAGCTAATTGTCAGATCTGAATACATTACACCTCGCTTCAGTTGTAATCTATAATATCCGAAAAATTTGAGAGCTGGTATCTGTTCTGTAAGTAATATATCTGTTAATTTTCAAGTGGTTGTCTTCACTTACATTTGTTTGTGAGTATGGGATAGAAGGGTTGGGTCATCTGCAAAGTCCAAATCCTCTAGTCTCATTCAAGTTATCCTCATATTTGCTCAGATTCCCTTTCTTTGGTATCTTGATGAGGTATCTTTCTTTTCAGTCTGTCGGTGGCACTTGTTCCTCCTTCCGAATCTCCTTGAGTAGAGTGTGAAGCATATTTGCAACTATTTCTGTATCTGACTTCAGTGCTTCAGATGGTATATTGTCAGGTCCTTCTGCTCTTCAACTCATGATTTGTCTGATGACCACAATTGATTTCTTCGGTAGCCGATTGAGTTACATCTATAGCAAGGTCTGTAGTTGCTGCTCCGATGTTTAGTGGATTCAGTGGAGCTGTCCTACTCAACAGTCTCTCAAAGTGTTTCACTTATCTGTCCCTCTGTTCTTGAATCTCGGTGACTGTCTTGTTTCCTTTGTCCTTGACCGGTCTCTCTGGCTTAGTTATTTGACATTTTCTCCTGTTTCGGCTGTTTCCGCTGTCGCTGCTAGCTCTTCCACGTATTTTTACCTGTGGACTCTAATGCTCCTCTTCACTTGTTTGTTCACTTCTTTTTATTCAACTTGTGCTTTGAATTTCTCCTTTTCTGTTCGTTTGTTGTTGATTGCTGTTCTGTTGTTCTTTTCTTCAGTCTCTTTTATGGTTTCCATTGGCATCCATTTATGATGATGCTTCTTGCGGTCCAGCACCTCCTGACACGTTGAAGTTGGTGCTTCTTTGATCGCTTTACAGTTGTCCTACAAAGTAGTTTCTCCTTCTTTGAGTAGATCTTTGTCGTCGTCGTTGCTATCATTGGTGGGTACATAACATTCGATAATGTTCATTGTGATTTCCTCCTTTGTTTTGAAAGATGCTTTGGTGATCTTGGATCCATGAGATTCCCATCCTCTAAGTGCACTACGTGATTCTTTGTACAGAAGTAAAGTAAATCTCTGAGTATGTGGAGCATTTTCTTCTTCGTGACCAAAGTAAAGTAGCATTTCTCCTGAATCTATCCTTTTCTATCTTGCTTGGGTCCGATGGGTTTCACTGATTCTGTCAAGTGTCTCCTCATTTGCGTAGCTACTTTGTTGGTTCTTGCGATCTCCCACATTGTTCAGACAATTAATGTACATATATTAATTGTTGCTCTGGTTGTTGGAAGGGGCATCAACGTCGTGGCTTCCGGAGAACCTCGGCTTTCATCATGGGGCGTCATAATTCTTTTGAATGAAAATCGTTCAACTGGGAGGATAGTTTTTATGTTTTAACTTGTTAATTCTGGCCAGCGGGTTTTTAGCAGAGTTCTTTTGCATAGGATGTGTTTACCAACCACATGCCCAATCCTCTTCCTTTAATTATGCTTGGGACCGGAGGTAGCCCTAGAAGAGCTACAGGTGGAGTTGCTCAACAAAGAATGTTGCACAATTTTGTATGTATCTTCTTGAATTGAACTTGTTTTACTAAGATTTATGGATAGAATGATTGATACTCAATGTAGTTATTCTACTCCTGAGTACACAGAGTGTTATAAAACCAGAAGAATTAGTCATTTCGTTGCGTAACTAAAACTTCCCATTTTTTACTAAGGTTTTCATGACCCAACTCAAAGTACGTCTGGAATTTAAATGCGTCTGTAAGTGTGGTTAGTGGCCACTTCACTTGTGAACCTCAGATGTTTCACTACTATTCGTGATATATTCTAGTAACATAAAATTTTGCCGATTCAAAATCTTCTAGCCATCTTCATCATATCACCTTCAAGTTCAATTAATTTATCAAAAATTCCTGTTAAACTTCAATTGCCACAGTCTCATATTTCATGAGAACATATAGTGGAATAGCTGTTTTACAAAAAATTTCGCTTTATTAAAAAGGGAATGTTTGAGTAAATTTCCAGGTATGCACACTCAAACAGTTTACTATCTTAGTAGCCAACATTCAGACTGTCCCGTGGCTATATTTATTCGTTAGCTGTTTCGCCAAAATAATTAACAGTTATAAAGTAAGATAAGTAAACCCAGTGAAACTAAAACCGATAGCTCCAAACATTAATTAATATAGTTTCTTATATCCTAGCGAATACGCACTATTTTCACATAGGCTTTAAATGTCTGGAGTCTAAGCTGAACGACTTTGGAAAACATTAGATAAAAAAATTCGCGTTAATAGTTTCGGTGGACAGTAATAGGTAGAAGGACTGTATTCTTTCTTTCCATGGATAATTTTTTTAAACTATAGAAACGAAATCGACTTTGCAAAATATGTCAAATGATAATGATCTTACCAAATTATTTCTTTCAACGATGTTGCTTTCATACCCGATCCCTAGATAAATATCACCATAAACAATCAATTTAGAAGAAGCGTTCTAAAGAGAAAAATGTTATTAAGATATCGTCTTACTATTTTAAGAGCGCACCGAGAGAGGCTAAGCTCCTTACAAATCTTTGACAATAATGGGTCTATAATGGATTGTCGTTTGAATAAAATGGGATTTGAGTAATATATAGATCTAGATAATTATTCTGAAACTGCTATCGATGTACCGTTTTGTTATGAATTTGTCCTCTCGTACAGCTTCGTGGGCCATTTTCAAAATAACCATCAGGCGTGCTTTAATTTGAAAAAAAGAGAAGCTTTGTTAGTGAACGAGACGTCAGTTGACTAAAACGTAGTTACTCTTGATACAGTATGACTAATATGTAAGTTTTATCTTATTTTACTAGGCTTCACATGGAAATGATCTAATTGTATCCGGCACTATCCAACAATCTTACATAGGTAGAAAAAACAGGGTCTTGTAGAGATCTATGAATGGGCGTTTGTTTGTTGCACAAAATCTCAGCCTTCTTAATTATTTGATTTGGGTTCGATGTAATATTTTCTCAGACCATAGTCTTGCCTACACATTCCTTCTTGAGCTGTAAAAATCAAACAAAGTTTTAGCCTTTTGACTTCATCGTTACTTGGCTTAAAGTTCTCATCTCTGATCTAGTATTGTCGTAATGTGCATCAAAGGTGGACTTTGTTCCGGTTCCACAGAATCCTAAATCTACTTAAAAACATTGATATTTTTCATTGCTGAGTTAAATTTATAATTTTCATCATTTATTACGCATCAAGGCTACTGATTTTACTTTAATTAGTTTTAGTCAAAGTAACATCGAATGTATATTTTTTAAATTACTTTACGTTTATTGAGTAGATTGCCTTTTTGTCTGTTGCACTTTTTGTGTGGTAGTTCACGATTTCACCTTTTTCACTTACCAGTTTTTGAGTCTAATTTATTTGAAAAACCCTGATTGGTGAAGGGACGGCACAAATGAAGTAATTGCTAACGGTCAGGCTGCTATCCAAAGCCATTGCAGTGGTGAATGCTGCTAAAAGGCGTATTGTCAAGCTCAATCGAGATCAATCTAATGATGCTCTTTCTGTTGATACGCAAATTGATTTGCAGTCATCTAAAACAGGCTCAGAATCAACTTTATCTATTGTTTAAAGTAGGAAGGAGGTCTGTCATAAATATGAACTAATGAAACGATGTTTCTTCTGTCTCACTCCCTCCAAACGGCTCTAGGCAGGAAATGCCTAAAAATCTCATCACAATGCTAAGCCTGTCTTTCTAATAAACAAAAACGACAACCTGACGCCATAAGTCATCGACAATCATTCATCGTTTGTAACACAAATGCAATTGCTTCTGCAGTGATAAATGATAAATGAATAAAAATTTAGAATGTAAAATGTCTTAGTGTTACTGAAGGGAAGCCATACGCTCTGAAAAAAGTCCACAAATGAATGGTTAATCATAGTTACAGGCCATTTGTTTTCCATAGAATCAAGGAAAGTGGAAGCCCAGAACCCTAAACTCTCTGTGAGCATGATGCTGAATCGATGAAAGATTTAATTAACTAGATAATTCATCAGGACATCGGCGGGGTCACCTTTCTGAAGATTTATAGACTAGGTAGACAGGCGGACTTAAAACAGAATCAAGCCAGGTTGATAAAAATGGTATTTGAACCTCCCAATAACTAGGATTCGATACTATAGAATGCACGCAAAATAAAGGGATCAGGTTTTTTGTCCGTAAAGGCTTACCACTCGCCAACCGTATAGAAAGACGAGGAGCGGAAAATGATCTAAAACCAAGGTTAGAAGCTGACAAGAAGGACCTTAGAATTGCACATTTTTTGCTGGTGAGGTCTCGACACATTATGATCCTGTAGTTCCTTTGAGTGCAGCACAAAGTCATTTAAACGGTTTTCAAATCTGTTGCATAAATGCCTCAAGCTTCCTCTTCAAAAGGTTGCAGTTAGATAGAGGGATAAAATTTATCAAGCCAGATTCAGTTGACACCATAGAAACTTGTCCTCAGAACACGTACGAAACACAAATATGTGAACTATCGACTCGTAAGCTCAACTAAAGTGGTTATAAAGGTTCTCGAAAAGATTATTCGGAAGGACTTGTTTAGGTGTCTGGAGAATAATCGGGATCTTTCTAATAAGCAAAATAGTCTAAGAACAGGTTATTCATGTCTCACAAACTTATAAGTAACTCGTGAAAGTCAGTGTGCTATTAAAGATCAAAATTTACCTATATATGTAGCTTAAATTTGCTTCAGGAATGCTTCTGATAAGGTTTCTCACAACCTCCTGTTATCTAAGTTAAGTGATATCGGTATTGGAGGATTTCTTAGTCGGGCGTCAACATGAAGTACAGGTGAACTCAACTTTTTCTATCTGAGAGACTGCGCTTAGTAGAGTGCCTTGAGGTACAATGCCGGAGCCACCTTAGTTAACTATAATCGGTTCTATTATATGGTGTTAATATCAGGATCTGGAGAATGATAGAAATTAGGGTGATTGTTCAGTGCTCCGGGATGAGCTGCGGAAATTTTCTGAATAGTCTAAAATTTTATGGTTGTCGATAAATGCTTCCAAGTGCATACGATTCATATTTGTCACTGAGATACAGATACATGAAATGTGAATAAAATCAAATTACCTGTTGTTCGAACACAATGGTTTGGGAGCCATTGTTGGTCAATACTTGAAAACAGCTCCACAATACCATGCTACGGCTTCCAAAGTTTTTAAACCCTATGTTCAATATGTAGAACCTTCAGTCATGTCTATGCTAAAATGTTTTCAACTCTATTTACAGCGTCCGATTGTCCTAAACTCAAGTATTCCATACACACAGCCAGGCCTTGCCTGAAAGAGGCAGTAAGCCATTGGAAAAGGTTCAAAGAACCTTAACTAAACTGATCCCTGTGATCATAAAACTCTTGTATAATCTAGACCTATTAACCACGTCATATAACGTAACCAGAGGTGATTTGACCACAGTTTTGAAGTGGCCTAACGATGAATTTACATCTGATATGCTATCACTTTTGTTGACTTTAAAGACAGGGAATTCACGAGGACACTGAAAAATGGCTCGTGAGCCATAAACGAATTAATTGCTAGTTAAATGTCGATATTCCCATCAATCGTCAACAAGTGGAACTGGTTACCCAACGCGTTATTAAAGTTAAATATGTCGACGTATTCAAAAGAGAGTTAGATCAACTTAAAAATCACTATTGTCGCTACTCACATAGGCTACCCGGACTCCTGTCCTTTCCAAACTAAAATTAAATCTTATTAATTATATTTTGTATATTTACTCAGTTTCTGGACCTAATGCCTCACTTACAACATCCTAAGAACAAACATTTTTATCAGAAAATTTTGAGGTTCTCAGGCTTATGTGGACACATTTATTTTAGCTTGTTTATGAATAATTGATTCAATAACTGTTCAGTACCTTTGTGAGATTAAATGTCGTTAAAATATTCGATAAACCATCATAAATGACCGATTGAACTCAGATGAAGTTACAGATTTTCAAAGATTTTAACATAGTAAGTTGACTGTTAAACGAGTTTAACTTGTTTCATAACATTTTATATTTCACTTACTAAATTCTTCTGGCTTCTTTACTAATAGCTTCAAAAAGTGCCTACAAATGTGCAACACAAAAAAACATACGGTTCCCTAGCTTCATTTATATTTCCGGACTTCAGAAACTCCATTACTTCGTATACAATTCCCTCGATCATCGACAACACAGACATATTTTAAAATGTCAACAAGGTGTTCAATCAGAAAAAGTTGCTTTGGATTTCTAATGCAGTCATAACAAATCACTTGTTCTATTGGGCCATTTTCTGATTCATAAAACATAATTGTCTATCACAAAATGGTATAATTCTTCGGACTCCTAATGTGTCATAAGGACAGAAAGCCTACGGCCTATGTTGTTCCTTTTCTAGTATACTTTCATGAGTGTCCAGTCTATTCTTGAATGAATCAGTTGAAAGTGTGGAAGGCACTGCTTCCTGTAACAGGTTCTAAGAATTGATGACTCGGTGTGAAAACCTGTATGCCACGGGTATTTTGTTAGTTCTTGGATTTTCTACTCGCCTGCTATGTCCTCTGAGATGTCCCGATGTAGCGAGAAGAAAACAGAGAATGTGTTAGGTCCAAAATCATTTTTTAGTATTCTGTACATCAAAATTAGATATCCCCTTAGTCTGAGATAAGGCATAGTAAAGAAGTCTAGCTTTTCAAGCTGCTTTTTGTATGGTAAACCACAGAGTTCTGTAACCACACAGGGAGCAGTCCTCTGTACTCGTCCCAGGATATCCGAGTCACATTTTAAATACGGGCCTGCAGCCTGAACGGAGTTCTCAAACTTAGTTCTCACTAAGGTTTTGTATACTGTAGTGAACATGGTAGTATATAACTTGGCGAATGTCCGTTTCGAAATACAATGGGTTCGAAACCCCTTAGCTGAGACCTCCCGTCAATCCGCCGTGGTCTAAAGATCATGACTAACTGTTACCTCAAGATCCTCGTGAGACCAGACCACGGGTACTGGCACTTCTCCTATGCCGTACCTATTAACCTGTTTATCCTGAACGTGCATGTAGACACACTTTAGACCAGTTAATCAAATTATTCAAGTCTGCCTGAAGTGTGCATGCATCTGCGCCTCAGGTTATCACTCACCAGACTTGTACCTAGTCAGAATATATTAACACTGGGAATTATACTATACTTGGAAGACCATTGACACACATTATAAAAAGTAAAGTACCTAGGATAGAACCTTGAGATACTCCACTAAGCACTGGTCTCCAGTTGAAGCACTTGCACTTTATCACTAATTCTGTTTACGACCTACTAGGAAATCCCTAAGCCATTTTTAGGGAGGTCCAGCAATACGAGGATTTTCTAACTTCAATAGCAGTCTATTTGTTGGCCTCATGTTAAATGCCTTACTGAAGTCTTTGTAGACAACATCCACTGAGTTTCCGCTGTCTAGCGCCTTTATCAGAAATTCTCTTGCTATAAGGAGGTTTGTTGTACAGGATAGACCCTTTCTAAAACCATGTTGTTAGTTGGTTAACAGGTTGTTGGTTCCCACAAACGTCATTATGGTCTTCTTGACCATTCTTTCTAATATTTTAGCTACACTACTGGTGAGGCTTACAGGTTTCTAGTTCGATGGAAGTTGTCATGTTCCTGTTCTATGTATCGAGGTGACGACTTCACCCTTCCAGTCCACAGGTGACACACCATGGTCAAGTAATATATTGAATAACACAGTCAGTGGGGCTGAGATATATTGTGCAATATGTCTCAAGATTTTGGGATGTAGTTCATCCACTCCTGTTGACTCTTCCCTATCTAAGATGCATCGTCTAGATCAAAGTCCAAGGTGAGCAGGCGGTTCGTTGACCTTGTATTTGGGTTTAGTTCTTCGTTTAGGAGAAGTTCCTTAGTGAAAACTGTCCCAAAATAGCCTCTGCCTTTTCCTGATCTTCCCCTCTCATTTCATATTCACTCCCTTCTTTGATTAGGTTGGGAATCCAATGATACGTCCTTGTTCTGTAGTATAAGCATGAGAATTGTCTCTTAGGTTGGTTGAGTGAAGATTGTGCCAACTGAATTTTATATTTTCTCTAGGCTCTCCAGGTTTTAATTATAAACTTGTTTTTTTACCGATCTGTAGCGTTCCACCGTACCTGTTGTACCAAGGCTGGTAGCAACGTTCCAGCATTTCTTCTTTTGTCTCAGTAAACGTCGAATATCCCGGCTTGTCCAGGGATGGCCGAGCTTCTCCTTCTTTCAGACTGCCCATGGTATGTATGGTTGAGTTACGCGATTGTACAACTGCAGGAAATGAGTCCGTGCCGCTTGTACTGATGCCCTTGAGTCAATTTCCCAGGTTGCATCTACTATAAGCCTTTTACCCCTATTAAACCTGAACTTAAGTTTGCTTAGGAGGAAGTCATCTACTAAATATTCTCAACTGCGATATACTACAATTAACTCAATATCTCACCGTCTACATTTCAGTCTTAAATCTTTAGTAATTTGACGATGGTCAAAATGTGACATGAATAATAAAGCCAATTCATGTGCTTCAGGGCACGTGTTACGTATTGTCCAGCGTGATTATTTCTTATCTCTGAAATACACATTCTCTTTTTTCGGGAGATATTGTTTCGGCGTCTAAAAGTAGTTTGTTCAGTGATGGATGGTGAAATAACATGACAAAATATCATTTTACATGAAGGAACTTGTAGTGGTATCGAGCCGTAACACGAGACAAACTGGAAAATAGACATTCAACATTAAACGCTGGGAAATACCGAACAATAAAGAAAGGCGGGAACGGTGAATTGAATTAATACGAGTTAATCTTATGGCATGGCTCAACCATGCAGGCGTGGTCCCTCCTGCTAAACGTTACGTTATGTCTTTTATTCATATTAAATATATTGTTCCATCTCTAGCCTAAGCTTGTTCTCTATCACGTATTGGTAATTGTTACAATGCAATGAATTGGCGTAGGTGATGTAACTTCCACGTAAGATCTTATAGATTAGGCAGTTACATCATGATAAATCTACAATTTTAGGATTAGGTCTATTATTAGAGCAGTGCTAATATCATCGTAGACAATAATTCTACATTGGTGAGCCCGACATAAGAAACGCAACTTATTATTATTTTTTCTCTTTTTCACCTGATATCTCTGGATCTATATATACATATGTAAACCCATTATTCTAATAGTCCTCTGATTAATGCTCATGTGTATTATCGTAATGTTATATTGATTAGTTCTCATAACTTACTAGCTCAATCAATAATAAAAACTGGTCATCTACATTAACTAATTAGCTTTTGATGGTTCGTTAACAAATTTTAGTAGCATTTTCATGCTTCAGCGAAATAAACTTAGTTTACCATCAAGCTCTAGCAAATATGACCTGCAAATAACCTCAATATACATTGACTAACCATGAAATCAAGGACTAAATATTTATCTGGATCTAATTCGTAGTGTTCCTTCACTTAACCCATTCTGTCTTAAACTTTGCACTATCCTGTAATATCTTTTTTCTTCCGACCACTGCCTGCCTAATTTCCAATTCTCGAGTTCCATTGCCAAACAACAAGGATGACACTACTTCAAAAACATACGTTGAGTTTTAGCTATAAGTTTTCTGCAATCATAAGATTATTTTAGATGGCTCGTTCAATGGCAACCACACAATTATCTGGATTCATTCAATTGTTCTGATCCGAGCAAGTGACAAAAACCTCAGCGGCACCAAGGACCCTGGAATTAATTACCATACTGCATGTTTTATTCTGGATGCTTTTGGATCATTACTTCTCACGAATAGCGTTACATATGTCGTCTATTTAATATTCCAATTTTCAAAAATAATCCAGGCGAGTTTAACTATTTTACTGGATTTTTTTTTGTACTTAACATTATATATTTTCCAGTTGCTTTTGCTACATATTTGTACGTGCCACTATGCTAAATACAGGAATCTCTTATGGGAAGTTTATAACTCATCATAATCCTGCCCGAAGTTTCATAAGCAGTCTTAACTTTAAAATTATTTTTCTGACAATGTTTGTCATATGCATCAATAACCTGCATGTTAAGCTACCCTGTAAATGCGTTGCATTATATCTCAATGCCTTTTGAATTCGAAAGTCATTTGAATCGCCTTTAGCATTTCTCACCAAACCCATCATAGTCATTCTTGCTATACGTATTTGGGTTTGTCAATCGGTCTACCATATTAGTAACATAAAAAGACAAACATAGTTTAGATAATAAAGTTACAAATTCAAGTACTAGCATACTGCCTTAGTATGATAGCTAAACTATCAGATAGTTGTTGGCCAAACAAACATTTAAAATTAAAACTCCGGAACCTATTACTAAAATTAACACTAGATGTATATTCTTGAATTGAAAATTATAATATAATTAGGCGGCTCGGTTTCTTCAACGCTACAAATTTCTGATAATTTCAAATCACCTGAAGCAACAATACTTATTTTTTCCACCGGCTGATCCTCAATCATCACTATAATTAGTTAGACCTAATGGTTTCAGGATATCGTCATAAAGCATTGTCATGACTTGACAATCACGTAATATGATCGATAAAATTGACGAAACTATTAACAAAATCGATCAACAAATTGACTTGTAATTATCATTAAGTAGTGTTATTTTCTCTGTATCTTCATCCATTACAGATGATTTTCAGTATGTTTCTCTATCAGTTGCACAAAACCTTGTCAGTCTAATTGGAGGTTTAGCGACACAATCATGCATGCAAACAATCAGTATAAGCAGTCGAGCAAATCTCCTGCAAACTGAAAACATAAATGTCGAATTTACCACAACATTGACTAAAATTCAAGCCATTATCATAGACATGAGTTGGGAGTGTAATCGCCTTGGTTACTACTTATGTTCTCCCTGCTAATCCCATGAGCATCACTCACTGTTAATCATCTTGTAAAAACTTATTTAGACGAATACATCTTGCAGCACCACATCACCTTAAAATGTGGCACATAGGCCTAACTGATTCCAGTAACTTATAATCACTATATCTCAATGAAATAGCATTCCGTCTTATACTAAACTGACACTTGCAACTAACTTGTATGTACCATCAGCCGATAGGTATGAATATAAATACATAGTCTATGGCAAATCAGAACATTGAGTCTAGAGCATATC